AGTTCAGTTCACTCTATTTTAAGGAAACTCTTCCAAGAACTGAAAGGGACTCTCTTGACCAGAAATCTGTAAAATAGCCCAAAATCTACTGATAGATTTATACTTTTGGGGAATCAACCCGGAAAGATAATGCCAACACAAAGCACACTGGGTTTAGAACACGTTCCCATCCTATTGCAGAGGGGATGGTTAGAAAATGGTGGCACTACTGTCTCAGTGAGACAGCGTGAAGTCAGCAGGTACCAGCCAAGCCAGGCTTTTATCAGGAATCAGTTCTGCAGAGATCGCTGCTCACATGGGTGACAGCCATCCATTATTTGACCAAGGAAGAGAAGGAAACAGCTGATGTGCAGCTCCCAGGTGAGTCGGTCCATGAGCACTGACCCAGGAAGCCTCAGTGCCTCCCCTCCGGACTGGCAGCAATGACGGGGCTGGCAGCAAAAATACCACGTCTAGATAAATGACTTCATATGTCATATGTCAAAGATACGGTTACACAGAGCTTCTCCTAGAGGATATGGTCGTCAGGTTTATTTTTGTAGTTTTCATTACAGTCCAAATAACTTTGGCAGACTTAGAAAAAATAAATTTTCAGAGCTTTCTCCCATCGATGTCACCATTTTTAATTAACTTTTGCTGAAGCGGTCTCAAGACAAATGTTGCTGCAAAAGGACCAGTTCCTGGTGCACTGCTCTGGGCCTCAGTGCTCCAACGCCTTGCAAAGCCTCAGGGCAGCAGTGCCCGGCCCAGGCAGCCCCAGGCAGCACGGAACTTTTGCACACGTGGTGTGCAGACACAGCTCCAGATGTCCTCGGGACCTTCCACCAACACCCAAAAGGGGCAGGGAACGGTCGCCAGGAAGGAGCCAATGGAACATAGCTGGCAGCAGCTTTTATGCTCAAAGAGACGCAGAGCAGAGTGACATTTTTCCATGAGCTGCAGAGATCTGCGATGGGATCCTATTTTGAAAGGCTAAGATGTGCAAAAGTATCCATTAAAAAGGGAGTGCCTGCATTTCGATGGCCTGTTTTGTCAAAAGCCCTTTGCAGACATTTGTTCATCATCACGCGGATGCTTTCATGCGTGGTTTCTGGGTAATTTTTAAAAATCCTGGCACAGGTTTTTCTACACAGGAAAAAATTCTGATTGTTGTTTAGTGCAAGAAAATCCTGTTTATACTACTACTGTGATTATAGCATCCTGGCCTCCTGTGGGTAAAGTCAGACCGAGGAACCAAACCCTGATGAAAGAAAGTGACTGGCACAGCATGGAATGTAAAGAACTTCTCATGAAAACTGAGGTTAGGAGGATTCAGAAACTTTTAAAACCTTGAAGACATTCAGAAGACCTTTTCTCATTCTAAATTAAAGAAACTATAGAAAAGTACTTCATCTGAATGGCTTCAGTAGGTAGGGAACCATGTCCTGAGGTTACAGTAATGAGTACTTCATACACTTGAGCTCAGTAGATGCAATGCAACTCGGAAAGACAAGATCACTGCTAATTTCAAAAAGAAACACTTTCATTTGATAATTTTCTACATCTATTTAACCACTGTGAAAGAATCATGATGACTTACAAATGCAGAATTGCAGACCCAGACATAGGAACAGAAATAGCAGAGAGCTTCTATCACGCACAAGTGCAAAACAAAGAACCCGCGTTGGAGCTCAGTGTATTGCATTTGGCCTGCTGGAAAACATCTGCCATTTGTCAGGGCTACAGAGCAAACAGAGTCCTCTCCTCCTTGATCTCCAGCAATTAGGGAAATTCTGTTGTGCTAATTACCTGGAGAGACAAAGCAGGGAGAAGACAGATAGCAAAGTGACACTTGGAGACAACATTTACACCAGTAAAAATGTGGCAGATATTTCAAGTTGCTGGGAACCACGGAGCAGATGTTCCCAGCAAGATGGAAAAGCCCATCCACGTGCTTTAAAATGTAAAAATTATCATTAAAAAAAGCACAGCAAGACAGCCTCTGGCATTGCTGAGAACGCAGAGGTATGGAGGATTTTAAGCGGTCAGTTCCCTCAGAACACGTGGTTTGAATTGCCCAAAATGGAGCACCGCGCCGTCCCACAGGCTGAAGCACCACTCGACCTTTGCATTGCGTCCGTTATTGGGAAATATTTGTCACATATTAACTGGAACATCAGATTACCACACTGAGTATTTAACACTGCTTTGTAATATAGACATACGTACAAAAGCCTACGATAGCCTCTCATCATGGATTCAAGATGAAGACGGGGATACACGTCTCCCGGCAGCCAGGAAATCAGTTTGGGCTCCTCAGCAATGCTGAGCACAAAGCCTCAGGAGGTACAGCTAAACAAAAAGGCACGCGGCCGCAGCAGGCACACAGCTGTGAGCAAGGAGTCTGCAAGCACCAAGGTTTAGTTTTGCTTTTAGCCCACCTCCACTTTGCTCCTGAGCTGAAGACTGCCCTAAATGCCATGTAAACAAATGCTCCTGCACCTGCTGAGATGTAGCTTATGGGGAAGGTGATGTGAGGACCCCATCCAGGGGGACAGGCTGAGCGTAATGCAACAGGGCGTCTCTGCACAGCTCACCAGGCCTGGCTCAGTGCATGACAACAATAAAGAGACTGAGCTGCTGCTGTGCTGCGAGCCAACATGTGGGGACAGCCTGTCCTCAGCCTGGCCAGCACCAGCAGCACGCAACGGCTGCAGACCCCAAAATAGCTGCAAGCACTGAAAATTGAAAGGCTCTGCTCCTCAGCACAGCAAGGCCATCATCTCCACCACCCCAACCTCACCACTACTGAGCCACCTCCACCACCCCAACCCTCACCATTGCTGGGCAACCTCCACCACCACCTCACTGCTCATCACAGTGGGATCAACATCATCTCCCCTCTCCTCACTGCACCAGGGCCCGCTCTGCACCCACCGCTGCCCCCTCAGGACACCCATGAATGCATTCCTCCCACTCCTCACATAAATTCCATAACGATGAAGAAGCAAAACTGACACAAAATGTTCCTCTCCCCTACACCCCATCCCGCAATGCTTTTGGTGAATAAATAAAGCAGAACAAATCTCCACGCATCCCTGTGAATCCCGCAAATGCAGGTGCTGAGAGAAAACACAGAGACCTTTCTGAGCATCCCGAACATCAGAGACGTGGCAGCAGCTTCATTTAAGCTCTTTCCCTGTTGCTGTAATGTTTTATGATCGGCATTTCTCTGTGGCCCTGATGAAACGGCCGGGCCCCCTCTGCTGGCCGCCAGCCCCAGCACCTCAGCACCCATCCAGACCAGAAAGAAGCAACAAAACCCCAAAACAGACTGCATTTAAAGCAAAACGGGTCTTTTACAAAACAAACCCAGAGCACAGGGAAGCTGTGTGGGTCTGTGAGCGCTGCTCATGCTGGAAGAGGCAGCGGCTGCCATGGCTGAAGTGCAAGCTTCAAGTTTTGGGGTTGCTGGATCCTTCTGTGGGGCAAGCGAGCTGGGGCCACACTGATAGTTTGCAATTTGGCACCGAAAAAAGCATCGTGTGTAAAAGTTCCTTTGATTTGGTCCAAAATAGCTGTTAGATTTCATGACTGCTCTACAGCACATCCCCACCTAAACACAGCAGAGGGGCCCAGGAGCAGCCATGGCCACCCCAAAGCTCCCTGCCAACAGACAAGCACTCGGCTCACAAATTACCTGGGCATTCGTTGCTAATGACTGTAACAAGCAATTCAACAGCACGTGGGAAAGCCTTCCCCCCTCTCTCTTCCCTATCTCTTGACCAGCAAACCCAGTGACCCAGAAAAGAATTGGGACCTGGCAACAAAGGAACTCTTAAATCTCAATTGCTTTCTGCAGAGCAAAGGAAAAGCTCCTTGACCACTTAATCACATCAGCAGTGCCCTCTGCATGGGCCCAGCAAGAGCCCACAGAGCCAAGGGGCTGTGCTTCAGAGGGCAGGAAATAAATTTGTCCATCAGACTCCAAGGAGCTGAAAGCAGCCTGGTGTGGCCAATGTGGTTGGGTTCCAAGGCACACGGGACACCCACAGCTTTCCTCCTGACAGCCTGCTGGTGCCACGGCAGCAGGACACTGCAGAGAAGCATTGCTGATACATTTCTGAGGCCATTACATGTCATCTTACGGGGGAAAAAAACAAACCAACCAACAGACACACATCTTTTTTTGTGCTGTAAGTATGGACAAATAACTGAGCATCCTGCTGTGATTCTTATCCAGGATGTCAGGAAAACGTCAGACATTTGCCTGCAGTGCTCCTGCATGCAACACTCAGGGTGGGTTTTCTCTTTAAAAGCACAACTGAACGATCTGCTGCTCACGGGGCTTTGTAGCAGACCACTGCATTCCCAACCACCAAAGCACTGCATATCTTTCACACATCTTTCACTACTTCTGTAGGGAAAAAAAACAACAGAGAAGGTTGGAAGTGCCTCAGCCCAGAGTCATTCAAGCCATCAGTGTGACAGCACAGCACTCGCTGAGTCTTGCTATAAATGAGATTCCTTTACAAACGAATCTAAGCTGTTTATTGTTTCCAAGGAGCATGCACTTCCACAGCAGAACAGGAAGTTTTGACAGTTTAAGAAGTTCATTAAACTCTGGGAGGAAATCTAAACAATCAGCGACAGCTTTCATACGGCAAAGCAGTGCCGGAGATGTCGCTCCCTCCTAACAGCAGAGAGGCTGCAGCTTTTAATTATCACACTTGCATTAAGCCACAGAGATTTTGTTACTGCTTCTAAACTGTTTTGGCCCAACACCCGGTGCTCACAACCGAGCAAAGCTGTTCACTCCGCTGTTCATACAGCTGAGGATCCAAACCTCCAACTCCTTGATCTATATGCAGGCCATAGCGAGGCGGTGGAAGAAATCAACAGCCCCCCAACACGAGGCAGGGATTCAGCTTGGAGAAACATTTTTTATATGGTGTAGGTGAATACAGAGCAGGCAGCTCCCAGGCAGTGCGGTGTGGCTGTGCTGATCCCTCTGCACTTACCTGGTGGGCACATGCAGTCGGACGGAGCCTCTCTCGCCGTCCGCAGCTTCGCAAGTCCTTCGCCCAGCTTCTGTTTGGAGAAGGAATAAGAACAGCCATTTAGGGAACACGTTCTATCTCACAGCATACTGTGTGCACACCAACAGCCCAAGCGTCCAGTGCGCTTCCTTTGAGGAAGATGGTTTCACCTTGCTGTGTTTAGCTTTGCAAGACAAAGCGTAGAGCAGCACACAATATATTGAATGGTTCAAGCAATGACGCCCATTCTGCACACCCCAAAGTCACCTGGGCCGAGCCCCATGGGCTGGATTTGTGCACATGCATGGGACAGTTATCAGTCCCAAGTTAGATATTATTAAGTTCCGTGTTGAGCTTTCTCAGTGCATTTATTGGCAGAAGCAGTGCTGCAGAGAACCCTGTGCTGCTCCATTGGCCAAAGGCAAAGTGATGCAAATGCTGCTCTGCCACCAAGCACAGCAATGCAGGTCACCTAGCAGGGGATGCTCACACAACACCTGATGCTGCTGATTTTGTATCTGTACTCACGCTACGTGAAGCACTACGGTTCTCTTTAGGAGCGGGGTGAGGGGGTGATGGGCAGACACTGTGGTGCTCACACACCCCCAGATCCACCTCAAGACCAACACAGTGCCATCGTAAGGCGAAGAAGTGATCGGCAGGATTACTATAACAAGTATAAATTCCCCAAATCTGCCCACGTGGCATATTGCAGACAGATGTGAGCACATTCTGCCTGTTCTCTAAGCCAACCAAAATGTTCGTGCCTGCATTTAGGGCAGTGCCAAGTTGGAGTTACTGAGTCCTGACGACAGGCAAGTTATGTGAGCTGAGGCACAGCGCTCGTGGCAGGGGTAGCCCTGCAAGAGTAGGGGCAATTCCTCTTCACTCACAGTCATTACTTTCTGAGTCCTTTTGAATCCTCTGACTCACCCAAAGCATCTACCAGGAGAGCAACAGCAATCCGATAACTGGAGTCTGTACTCCAACATTTACAAGAGAGAAAACTCATGTTCTTATTGAGCTTTGGATGCTCAGGCTTGACCTTTATGCAGCTGATGATCAAGACCGTGTTCAAATATCTGATGACTGCAGACAATTCAGGAATTCAGCTACCTGAGAGCTAGATTCTGGTCCTTTATTCTGGAGATTGTTTCTCTGTTGCTGAAATGCTGTGCATCCTTTTTGAGCTGCTTGAATATGATGCACATAGATCCTGAAAGCATCCATGTGGTTTTACAGCACCGGACAGAGAAGCTGTCCTAAGGGAAGCGTGAGAGCAGCACACACGCTTTGCTTGAGAGAAAGCAGCAAAAAAGTGATCTAAAGAGACTTTTATGACATCCACTTAGAATCTAACAAAGTATCACTGGAATTTTATATGTTTTAAATTACTTGGATGGCAAAGGTGCTTGAGGAAAAGAGAAGCAGCTCTGCCATTCTTTCATTCTGTAGGCACTGCTGGGAACACCAGGGGAGAGCCTGCCCTGTCCTGGATGCTGGAAGGAGTCCTCTGTTCTCCCATTGAATTGTTCTCGTCATGAAGCTGATTAATCCGGACACTCTCTGCCTACTGCAGACAATGAATCCTTTGTGAACAAAACGGTCTGGCTTTGTTTACAACAACTGGACACTCCTCTCATCCCCACGTTAACTTTTTCACTCCAGCACAAATGTGACGCGCTCCGAATTCGGGCTTTTGCTGTGGACGCAGTGGAGATGCCACCACACTTTGGCCAGCACTGCTGGGAAGGCTTTGGAGGCATCAGCCCAGGACCCTGCAGGGCTAAAGGAACACACGAGGGAAAGCAAAGGTCCTGTAACCCCAAAGCAGTCGTCTCTGTGCCGTCAGATGGATGCCCATCACGAGGCTAGAAGTTTGACTGCAGTTGTCCAAATTGGCTTTCATACCCTTAACTACACACTTACCCCTTCTTTATTACTTCCTATCCTCTCTTACTCGGCAAACACTTAAACAACACTCAAAGCAATGCAAACCAGCATGTTTGCGTTGCGCCTGCAGCTCTTCCATACATTGCACCCGCAGACCCCAGGAGCAGCACAGGCAGTAACTGTGCGCGCAGTGATGGAGAACAAAGTACGAGGGGTCGTGCACAGAGAGCATATGGAGCTTTGGTTTCACTTCTGAAATACTGTGGTAAACTTCAAAGAAGGACCAGAACGGAGTTTAACAAAAAAACTGACCCCAGGCATCGGCTGATGTTTGTGGCCATGGAAATATTCCCTCTCTCCCAAGAAACTCCCAAGCACAGAAGGACAGATGCTGCCCAGTGAGAGCCTTATGTAACGAAGAGGAATGTGACCACGATACAGATGTGTTCTCGACCTTTATCATAAATGAATAAGCTCGTTTACAGTGATGATTAATAGCTAGAGCGATGGCTCCCATGCATTCCTTGAATCTGTTACCCATGATTTCGGCATTGACAGAAGTTTGGTCATACTGAACGTTTCAACAAGCTCGCTCTTGCATTAGAAGCCCAATTATGTGGTTTTGCTTTATTTTCCCCTGCACAATCTCCACTCGAGCGCTCCCAGTACAAAACAAGCTTTCCACACTTAACTAAATCTCAGCAAGAGGCTGCACATGATCTTAGGCAGTGCCACAGAAACCGTTCCCATTGCTAAGCACATTTATTGGCGTAACTGGAACAGAACCACGGCCACGGCCGGCAGGCTGGTTCCTGCCTGCAGAAAAAACGTTAACTAGATTTTGTGATTACGCCTCACAAGCACCCCTCTGTTCTGGCATTCAGGGCTTACACACACACACACAGTTTTTTTGCATTCCCCGTGATCGAGACCCATCACAGAGAACCGGGGAGTGGCGGTGTCCCAGCCCAGCTTCGCCAGGAGGTTCGCCTACAGAGAGGAACCCCGGGCGGAGAACAGCTCGTCAATGGGAGGAACGTGTCAGCATAGAAAGCTTTAGCGGTCGATTTCAGAGCTCTCGGAACCGGGAGGTGGGGACGCAGACGGACGCTGCTCCGCCGCGCAGTTCAGCACCGCCGCAGCACGCGGAGCGCGGAGGCGCGGATCCCGTCCGGGAATTTCTGACGAAGGAATTCCAGCCCATTGCGCCCGGATAAACGGCACTTCGGTACTCGGATTACCTTTGCCGGTGAATACAACGAGGGGGAAAACGGCGGGGTCTCGCGCGTTAAACCTTTCCAAAGTGCAATGAAAACGAGGGGGGAAAAAAGTTCGGCGAGAGGGAAAAAACAGCCGGGAAAGGAGGCGGCCGCCGGGGAGCCCCGAGCCGAGCCCCGCCGCACTCACCTCGCGCAGGAGCTGCTCCACGCGGGGCTGCAGCGCGTCCAGCAGCGGCCCGGGGCCGGCGGCGCCGCGCTCCTCCAGGGCGGCCAGGCGGCCCTGCAGCTCGGCGGTCTTAGCGCCCAGCAGCAGGCACACGGCCACGGCGGTGAGCGAGAGGAGCAGGCACAGCGCGGAGGTGGCGGTGCCCGCCGAGCCGCTGCCGCCCGCGCTCATCGCGCCGCGATCGGACCCGCTCGGCTGCCGGCCGCCTCCCGCCGGCGGCTCATCCAGCGCCCGCCCCGCCGCCGAAATGGGGCCGGCAGCTGCGGAGCGGCCGCTCTCCTCCGCTCTCGCCTCGCCAGCCCGAGTCTTAAACGGAGGAAGCGGGGGGTGGCGGCTCTCCCCTCCCCGCGCCGGGGACGGGGGGATGCTCCGAGAGCGGCCCGCCGCCCCCCGGGGGGATTACGCGGTGCAGATCCCACCCCCGCCGCCCCGCTCTGCCCTGCCCTGCCCGCCGCCGGCCCCCCGCGGGGAGCGCTCCCAGCCCGGGCCGGGCGGTGCGGGGCGCTGGGAGCTCCTCAAGGCCGGGCCGCCCCGCTCCGATCCCGGCCGCTCCGCGCGGGGATGGCGCCCTCCAGCGGAGCTGCCCGCGGCGGCACTGCGACTGAGCGCGAGCCGTGAGAGCGCCGAGCGCGGGGAGCCGCTTCTTGCACTTCTGATTTTATTCTGTTTAGCGGGGAGTCTTAAGTTCTGCTCCTATATAAACACTGAACACCTCCAGACTTGGCCAGACGTCGGCTTTCTCTGTTACAGATTGCAGCACTCCAACTCTTGACTCATCTATAAAACATCATCAGATAACCCTCAGCTCATATGCTGCAAACACAAATTAGCAAAAGCTACACGTACCGCCTAAGCAAGAGTACGCAACCTTTGACTTTCTGATAGTGCCGTTTTGTAGTTATTTTTACAGACAGAGCAGCATATATATTTTTCTTTCTCATCTGCCTTTGATTTGCATTACTTATGCTGATACGCTCAGCCAAGTGCCTGCTTTGCACCTGAGGAATGTGTGGAACTGAAAGCAGCGTGGGAGGATTCACGCTGTCCTCCTCAATCCCACCATGCTCACTGCTGACCAGGTCCAAACCATTCAGTTCCATCCTGCAGAAGAGAAACAACAATACGAACAGCCCAGGAAGGGGGACTGGATGAGGGCACAGCTCCAAGCTCAGCAGGTGGCACTGCTTACAGAAGATAAGCTTTCAAAGCATCCTCCCAGCTACAGAGTAATTGATAGGCACGCCTGGAGCCTCTTGCAAATTAAGACTGCCCCACGTAGCTGTGGAACAGACATCAGTTTCAAATCCTTCTGAGCTTTAGGACATACACATGCAAACACAAAACCTGAACTCGGTCTCCTGTGGCGCTGACACAGTTTGCAGTTTCTCTCAAGACAAGACTTGCATGCTAAAGCCTGCAATAAATGGCCAAAACGTGCATACTGCATCTGGAGTGGTAGACAGCCAGGATGAGCCCTACCCACCTGCCCAGTAAGCCCTCCACACTGCACCGAAGGCTGGACCAAGAAAACAGCTACTCGCACGTAGAAGGGCAAAAACTACCCAAGAAAATAAAGCAGCACCACTCAGGCCCTGTGCTCAGGAGTTACAAACGAGGACCCATCCTCGTCCTTCCTCTATGACAGGCTGATCAGTGTTTCCCAGTTGCCAAAGTTACTTGTTCATCATTACAGATCGAGCTCCACAGAAATACGTATTTGAAGACTTCAGGACCATCTGGTAACCACTGCAAGAGAAGGGCCCAAAGATGCCACAATGAATTCAGGGCCTATGACCATCTCAGCCAAAAAATGAGACTGCTGCACCTTCCTAGAAGTGGGTGAAGTTTCAAAGAGAAAAGTTTTCAAAAATGAAAATTACTTTTATTTTTCACTTCGATATCCATAATCAAGACTACAACTGCTCAACAAGATAAACACGACAGTTTACAAAACAAAAGTATTTACAGACTTAACTGTACAAAATAACTTAAAAGTTTACAAAAGTTTCATGCAACCTTTGTTGACTGACACAGTCTAGGAAATCTCCTTGGAGAAGCATAAAAGACGTTTGAATTCATTTATTTTTTTAATGGGTCAAAAAAAGGATGCTGCAAGGCTTCATCGAGAGTAATTCTTTTGGCTGGATCATACTCCAGCATCCTGCGAACGAGGTCAAACAGACTTTGATGATCTGTGTCTTGGCAATGCATGAACTCCTAGAAAAACAAACAAAGTATTTAAAAGCTCTTTCACATTTGGGAATGCAAAAGAATGTCATGGTTTTATGCTTCTCGTCACTCCGTGACACAGGATAATCAAAACCTGCTCTCCTACCTTTAAAGGCTTACAGCGCCGCCTGACGTACCGGCCTGCAGAACTGTGTTCATCCCAGTCCAACTGGTTATGGTGAAAATAGTGCTTTCTGTGTGATGAGGAAAAGATGCTGTCACTGTTAGGACTGCTCCCAACTGTTTACACTCAGCTAAAGCTGGCACAATCTCTCACAACAGACCAGCAGCTAACAAGCCTGCAAGTCTTCACTGGAACATCTAAAATTTCTTTTACAATAGGAATCTACAAGGCAACTTCTGTCACATACTTACCTGGATTTCTTGATCATGTGAGCTGGCAGAGGCCCCAGTATTCTTTCCATCATTGCCAAGTGTTCTTTACTATCATGTGTCTGTGTTTAAAAAAAAAAAAAAAAAAAGCAACATTTGCCAAAGTATCACTGCAGCATCTTCAGATTCCAATTGTTTTGCATGATCTTATCTCTGTAATACTCATTAAACCAGATGTTGAGTATGTGGTATGACAAGATCAAAGTCAGGAATCTGTAACAAAAACGTTCCACTTAACTTTACACGCATACCTGAAACACTGTAAATCCCAGGTAATACTCAATTAGAATGCAGCCAATACTCCAAACATCACAGGGTTGCGACCATCCCAGTGCTGCAAAACATGCAAAGTTTCTTTCACTTTTTAATGTATGCTTAAGATCTGCAATCCATGAAGAATACATCCAGCTTTCATGCATCGTCTGATGCCTGCCTTCCCCATTCACACCCCTCCCCACCCTGGTTGGTAGGGAGAAGGAGGGATGTGTCTCAAGTTCAAGAAATGTTTCCTTCTACTTCAGACTTTCAAAAAGTCACCACCTGTAAGAGATGGCTCCACTGTGAGAACCACAGGGCACCCCTCCAGTTTACTAAATAACGACATGAGGATGAACTGCAGTTATCTGCCAGGAAGTTTGAAGGCTGCCACTGACCTAAGATGACCTCAGGAGCCCTGTAATGTCTCGTGGACACCAGAGTGCTGTGATGTTCATCATCAAAAGTCGCGCTTCCAAAATCAACCACTTTTATGTCTGTGTTCTTTAAGGTGCGTTCATCTCGCTTCTGTAAGAGAATCCAAGTGCTGTTGGTTACTATTTTTAAAAGCATACTCATGCAGAAGATACCACACTATCCATTTAAACTATTTTCAGAATTCCAGTTAGCATAATTGTGCTAAAAAGGAAACTTCAGATGAAGGCAGAGTTGCAATGCTGAGAGAAAAAGCACACGCTTACCATTTTTGCGTTGTACTTCACTATGTAATCAGACTCCACAAACAGAATATTTTCAGGCTTTAAATCTGTATGAGTTAATTTATTATGATGTAAAACTGTAGGAAACAAAGGAAAAATATCCCATTAAATTTTGGATTAAATTTACCAAAGTGAAAAGAAGAGAGCACATAAACATGTTTGATAACAGTAGTCAGGCTTACTTACAGTTTATAGATTGGCAGATTTGATAAGCCATATTTCTAATGTCATTAATGTGAAATGGCAGAAAGCTGTTTTCCTTAATGAAATCATAGGTGCTAAGTCCAAGCAGCTCAAAAACAATGCAAACGTGGCCATGATGATCAAACCATTCCAGCATTTGGACACAGCGGCTTAAAAAAAGAAAAGAAAAAAGAATATAAACACACAGACTCATTTCTTTGGTGAGTTCTTGGTACGCTCCTCTCCATCCATACTTACAAAGTGCTGCTGGGATCCATGGTGTTCAAGTGTTCCAATACCTGTATTTCTGAGCGGGCTGCCTCTCGGTATCTACCAACATTTTTCACTATTTTAACAGCTACGTGCATTCCTCTCCTTCAGAACACAGAGAAATATCACAAACAACACCGGTTATCATTAAACATCTACACGGCCACAGCAGTCTAGTTACGATAAAATGAACACAAAAAATCAAAGGTCACAGCTGATTACACGCTGGATTAGGGGAAATGTGACTGAAGCAAATTCCAAAGGAAAGCTAGGTATTACTTTTTTTTTTTTTTTAAAGCAGAAACAGTTCTTGTTAAGCTCATACAGCCACAGCACATGCTACATTTCTCATATGCATATGCAACTATTTCTCAGTCTTACACAGCTGATTTACTTTGAATAAACATCAGGAACCCACCCAAAAGATGACACAAAAACCTGCAAATCTCTCTTCTGAGAAAACAACTGCAAGAATTTGTCCATTTTTTGGCAGCCTACATAACTTGTTCCAGCTCTCAGTGCTCCTAATGGCATCAGTGCATTTATTTTATTGCAGCAATTCATTTGTATCCTGAATGTTTTGTGCTCGTACAAGCAGATCTGCACTCAGTAGCACACTGAAATGCTAAGGATATTACTGTAAAGAACACAGCTACACTAAGTCCACTCTATCCTATTCTCTCACTGACAATTTTAAAGTGTCTCTGTACTTAGGAATACTTTCTGCCTTCTCAACATGATCTCAGGCTCCAGTAATCAGTGATTTGTACTATGCACTTAGACAGTTTGTAAAGGAATACATATATATACGCACACACATAGACACACACAAACACACACAGAAAGGCAGATGTTTCCCAAGAAGAATGTAGCAAAGGAAATTTACTGTTAAGGACAGATTCTCAAAATCTCAGAGAAAAAGCGACCAAAACGATTTCTTTATATGCCATCTCATACAAAGGCAATACCATGCGAGGGCTGCCACAGAGCAAAAGGAGAAACAAAAGAACGTTAATTTCCGAGCTGAGCAGCACCTTGTGGCACGAGGGGCACTTGCTGACACTTACATATCATGATCTATGCACTCCACCACTTTTCCAAAAGCGCCTTCTCCTAAAGTCGCAACAATTTCATCTAAAAAGAACAAACCGAAGTCAGAATTATGCAACTACTTAGGTAAGAATGAATATTACTAATGCAGATTTTAAAATGTGCCATTACAAAAAGCATAATTACTTTAAATCTCAGCGACAGAACGTGTTATTTTATTGGACAGGCGTCATGAAAACAGTTAGCCAAAAAAAACCCTATCTCTTGCTCTAATCTCAAAACTCAAGTTCATTTACTACTTGCAACTTTTTGAATACAGTACTTAAAACTCTACAGAAAAGAAGATATGCAAAAAAACAAAAGCACGAAAAAAGAAACAAACAGAACAAAAAGAGCAATGAAGATTTCCTCAGCCCCCCTCCTCTGACATACTATTCTAAACAGACTTTTTTGCTGAAAGGTTTTTTTAAAAAAAGTGTTGAAAAATGTTCTATACATCTTGCTCTTAGAACGTCTCCACTTTCACAGATCAGGTGACCCTCCTCATCATCCTCTACACTCCTGGATCTTTTCCTTCGGTGACTCTTCTGGAAACGGCACCAAGATCGTCCAGCCAATCAATATATCAGAGTGAATTCAGGGCAGAATACGCAATTCATTCAGCGGGGAGATATTCAGGCATTCAGTAACGCACCAGGCCACGAACAGTTGGCAGGAGCAATTTCAAATTCAGTCCCCAGAAATTCACAGGGCACAGTTTATGTTACAGAAGAAAAACATGGCAAGGAACAGATTTTCAGATAAATACTTAAAGCGATAAGGCAACAGAAAAAAACAACACAATTTTGACTCTCAAACAGTGGCTTAATTGAAAGCAGATTAAGTATGCAACGTCACTACTTCTAATACTTTGCTATCATATAGCAAAAAGCAATATTTGATTACATAGCTAAGCTTACAATCAGATGAAATGTACATTTTAAAAATAAAGACAATTCTTCTCATCTAAATATTAAAGACTATCAAGTAATCTTACTTCCCTTGTAGATAAAGAGTGAAGAAAAATTACTTTCAAGTTACTGGTTTGCATGGCATAATCTACTACAACCTGCTGTTTCTATAGCAGGAACATGGCATAAAATACTCAGAGCTAAGATTTACCAGCAAGCATTGTGCCCATCACGAGAAATTCAGTGTGCCTTCTATGAAGGCAAGCAGCAAGGTTATCAGATATCTTCAATGAGACATTAGCTGCCACTGGCCAGGCACATGGCTCAGTTCAGTTTCCTGAAATCAGGCGTAGAATTGTGCAGCTTCTCCTCATCAATTTACCAGACATGCATGTTCCATACACCCAATTGGGTTTATTTTAAAAGGCATTTTATTTAAATTGCTTTTAATAATAAAATGGATGGCATCTCACAGTCTACCTGAAAACCAGACAGTTTTCTATGCTGCAAGACTGAAGGGATGGCTGCACTCTACTACAGCATAGTTATGTGCCTTTGTTTTCAATGCAACATTTCTCAAAATAATCCCAGTGCTGTGGCTGCTTGCTACCTCCAAACCCAGTGTGCAGCTACTGCTGCCCCCCCAACAGCCCCATCCAAAACTTGCTACTAAGAACATACTCATAC